CTCAATGTTGTTTTCCCCCAGCAATGGTTTTCTTCTTTGAACTTAGCCATTTTTGTCCAGTCTCTTCCCTACAGTGGATCCACCATCCCTGACCACTTTTGGATTAGTTGACTTGTGGTGTTGGTATAATTTTGGTCGGCTGGATGCTCATGGGAATGTTTTCCACTGTTTAGTGTTTAATCGATTTGAGGATAATGGCTCTGACTATGATTCACTGGACTCCCAAAGCTCTAGGCTTTGTAACTCTTTCCAGACTGGTTGATCTCAGTTACTTTACTTTCGTTTGGTTCCGATTTTCTTTTGATCTTTGTTTGATGCATAGCTTTTGTTGTACTACCCTTTGTCAGATGGATTTTATTTAATTGATTTCTTAATCGAGAACAGGCATGACAATAAACAGGCCTTGGTGTGGCGAGAGAATTAAACTCACATGTGATGAACTGTAGTTATGTTTTTAAAAAAAAAATTTCACAAAGAAACAAGTAGGTTTACTTTTATTTTCTCCACTCTTAATCAATCCAAACCATAATTTAATTTATGATATGTTAGGGAATTTTCTGTTAACTTGTCTCCTTTCTATTTGTTTCAGAATTCGAATGCTTTTTGCGTCATTGAACGTAGCACAGCTACATTTGCTTTAAAACATTAAATACAGGGAGGATAGGTGCCTCAGGCTGTTCTGAAACACTTTATATTCTCACAATATCAAACATGCAAAAAAAGAAGCCAGGAATATGGCAAACATTTCTCCCACCAATTTAAAAATTTAATCGGTAAATGCGTATGTTTAAATCAAACATTTTGTTACAAATTGAGTCATCAGTCTGTTTATCTAAAAACTTTCTATAAATACTGTAGATGTTTGTTAAACATGAAAGTTTTCCATCTGGTCTGTTTAATAACCTTCTAGGTTTTCACTGCAACTGACTGTAGTTAGTGCTGCCTTTCACCTGGAGAAACACTACATGTGGCTTTATATCTGTAAAAGATTTAAAAACCAGGATGTGCAGAAGTAGTGGCATTTTTTCACTCTCTAAGATGTAAACTGTTTTTAGAACTGTGTCCCAAATGTGACACTGTATTCAGTGTTGTAAGGACTGCAAACTTAAGGCAACACGAAGCTACCATTTTTTCTGTGGGTTATCTGTGCTCACAGCTTTCACTTCAAGCTTCTTAAACATGTACTGAACTGTTCTGTGTCACTACCTGACAGGGAATATTAATATATGTATATGTAATTTGTTTTCTAGTTCTCCTTTTGTGAGCGGGCCAAGCTTCTCCAGCAGACTTTGCAAGAGAGCCCTCTACAGTTACTTCCAGAAAGTTGCACTGCTGGTTGGCCACAGCTACCTGGCAGAGCTTCCCACCTACCACAGTGTCAAGGTTTGTAATCTGAGCTGTCAATCCAGCTGTTAAATGCCACACAAATTAATGGGAAATTAATAAAGGTCAGAGGAAAGTCCCTGTAAGATAGCAGGGATAGCATGTGGGTGTGTGTGTTTATACATACAGTCCATGAATGTATGTAGGTCTATATATAGATTCATACAGACTACTGATCAACATTTGGGGGTCTCAAGAAAACTTGCACTTTATTAATCAATTTTTTACCTTTGCAGTTTACCTGTTTGTTGAGGTAAGTTAAGGAAATGTGTTCCTTAAGCATATTCCACAAGTTTAATGAGCACTCATTACTCACCATATAGTATAGCTGGTCCCACTAGATCTGGTGACATTAAACACCAGCTTAATAACAGAAGACGGCGTCTTCTCCCAGCAGTTCTTGGATAGTTTAAAGCTATGCTTTGGCTCATAGTCAGGCACGGTGTTGCAAAATAAAGTCATAGCTTTTCATATGCGATATTCCATTTATCCTGGACAATTCTCCCACTTCCCCAGTATCCCCACACCCTCTTCTTTCCTTTACTCTGTTCAACAGTAGGCCTGTGTTCAAGTAGTCCTCTAATATTTTTTTATTTTATTTTATTTTTTTTGCTTGTCTAACAAAAATCTCTGTCCAGTGTTTGTGTTCTTTTCCGTTCTGATTGTTTCCTTTAGTTGGCTAATCTCAGATATGGCTTTTTCTTTGCTCCTCTACCAAGAAGCGTCCTGAAGTTACTGTTGATGATCAGCCTGGTATCATTTAATAAAAATTAGGACCTGTGAGGCGTCTGTTTCTCTAGCTTAAAATACTCTGATCTACGTATTCTACTTAGGTTGTAAAAAGATCTTCAGTGTTTTTGGCAATGCCCTCATTTCCCAGAACAAGAATATACTTATGAGTATTTTTCCGAATATGCTTTTCTGGAAATTTTGAGACAATGCTCCTCATACTCAACTTGCCAAATGAAGACCAATTTTATGGCTTTCATAATCAGGTGAACTGTTTTAGCTGTACTAAGAGAACACATTTTAAAGGATCATTTAACCTTTTAGTTGATTGTTGCTGAAAAAGGGGTTAAAATTTTCATATAGATAGGTATACATTTTACAGCAGTAATTAATATTCTCTCACTGTATTGTTCTTCATTTTATTGAGAAATAATAACATATCCAGGTGACCTCCATCTATATATCAGCTCTACATGTGTATGAGTATTTCATTATGCTTCCCAGCTGGTTTTTGCATCACCACTTCTTTTTTTATGGGCCTTTTTCCACAGGTGGAGGCTACCGTGTACCAAACAGTCAAAGATCTGGTCAAGCAACGCTTCCTGAGCAACAAAGCAGGGCCCTGGAATTCCAAAAATCTTGTGGATTGTTTCAGTTCTTAAAATTATCCACTTCAGACGTCATGTTTAGATTTTATAAGTTCCTCTAGAGAGTGGAGTTGTTCTCTTAATTATTTCCTGTTGGTGTTTATCTGAAAAGCAGTTCTGTTTTTTTTTTTTCATTATTGTATGGTGCTGGAGTTTTCTTTTTGAGTAGGTGTTTGAAGAAAACAAAAATAAATAAAAACAACAGTTGTAAAAGAAATCAGTTTGGGTGATTTGTTGTAGAAAGAGCTTGTCTTGGAGGTTGTAGAGTTAAAATAGGGAATATTTCTCTGCCATGTCAAGGGGAATGAAACCTTTAGTATTTAGACCTGCAGGGAGTGCTTACACTAACAGCACAGCACATTGTCTCAGGATAATAGAGGTGTTCAATCATGGAAACGGGAAGGAGCTGTAAACGCTGACTCCTTTTCAGTTTCATGAAATATCTAATATACTGAACAGAGTTTTCTTTAGAAGGTTGTTATTGTAAAATCATTTCAATACTAAAATTAGAAAAATAAGAGTATCATTAAAATTCATTCATATTCATTACCCAGACCCAAATATTTCCAAGTATTCAGGGTTCCCTCGGGTCCTTAAAAAGTCTTAAAAGGCATTGAATTCTTCAAAATAAAACTAAGGCCTTAATTGGTATTAAAATGTCTTAAATTAGTCTTCTGTAGGTCTTAATTTTTAAAAAATCATAAATAGGATTATTTTTACTACGATTTATTTTTGTAATCTAAATAAAACGTTAAAATTTAGAAAAAAAATTTTTCTTAAAAAAAATAAAAATGTCTCGCCATTATTGGTTCCGTCCCGATAGCGGAACCAATAAAAGCGTTGGTGCGGCCGGGACATTTGGGACATACGCCACTAACTTTTTGTCTGGAAAATATGAGCAAGTGTAAATGTAACGAAAATTGTCTCCAGCCAAGAGTTTTCTCCATGGCTAAAACCAGGGAACATACATGAGGCACAGTGTATTTTGTGCAAGAAGTCATTCAAGCTCGGAACGATGGGAACTAAGGCAGTGGAGTCGCACATGCGAAGCACGAAACGCAAAGCGTCAAAATCGAGTTACTGAGAAACAGCCGGTATTTCTCAGTTTTGTTCCACCCTTGTCTCTGCAACGCCTCCACTTATCACCAAATCAAACATACTAAGAAAACAATTCAAAGAAAAATAGCTGCAAAAAAGACTGGTTATGTTGTGGCTTTAAAACTGATTTGTTTTGTTCCCTGCTGAAACAAAGTTTGCGAATTCAGTTAAATAATTGTAAAATATATCTGTCATTTGTGTGTTTTTAGCTTTCTTCCTGTATGGGAAGCTTTTCAAAATTTGAAACATGAGTGCAGTGGTTTATGTTAAAATAAACCTTTGGGTTAAGTTGTCGCAAGCGGGTTTTTCTTGTGAAATTGGTCTTAAATTTTTATTTTAAGTGGCATTAAAAAGTATTAAAAAGTCTTGAATTTAACTTGCCTTATGCTGTAGGAACCCTGGTATTACATAAGAACAGTGTATTTTTTTAACAGATATTGTGACCGCATGAAAAATATTTCTAATTAACAGTTCATGCACTCAGGGCTCCTGCATTAATACAGCGTGGCTCTGATGAGGTGTTGAAGCCCTGATTGCTTGTGGCTGTTATGTCTGAAGGTCCTTTCGAGAAGACATATGCTCTGTGGTTTCTGTCTGATAAGTTTGCTGCCAATCAAGCACAGCAATATCATGGTCATCAAAGGAAGTAGTGGTATTTTTGACTAATTGGATTCAAAGTTCTGGAAATTAAAGTGTGACCCCATACAGAGTTCAGAGGTTATTCATGTTTAAAAGACGCCTTTAATGAAACTGTTTCCTTCCACTCAACTTTCCACTAAAATATTTTATTACAGGATTTTGTGACCAGCCAACTATTGTTTTTTTTTTTTTTTTTACAGACTGTCAACTATCATTGTGTGCTATAACATACTAACAACATAAAACCAATTTTGATTGTTTCTGCATTATCAAAATGCTCTGAGAAACTACTTATAATCAGATAACCCCCCCAAAATATGCCCTCTGCTTAATCTCATGTTCCTGGAAGTGTCCATTTAATTTCAAAATGTACTTGCTGTACTGTTTCTTATATTGAAGTGTATTAAACAAGAAGAGATAGATTTGTATTACATAAAAAAGCTAAGCCTAAAATGGGAGAAACAAAGAAAGCATAAATTAGCATTTTTCTGATTTTATGGCATTTTAATTGGATTTATCACTAATTACTGATTTGCTTGTACACATCACAAAATACTAGCAACATATAGATAAATATATCGGCAGCGATAGCAGCTAGAAACGGCTTAAAGCTGTGAAATCATGAAAGTGAGCAGGCAAAGGGGGCTTCATTCAAGGAAGTGACTAAAACCATCAAGCAGCTCAAACAAAAATTGCCAGATTTTCTAGAACAAAGAGGCTGTAAACATCTTAAATATTTCTTACATAAATGTGACAAAATGATCAAAATTGAACAATATTCATAAAGAGCTGAACCTGTAATGTTAAATTTGGTATTTTATTCTTTTACACAAAATGTTCCTCAATTTATTGTCACCATTGCACCGCTCACCAGTTGCTTGGCAACCAACTCCTCCTTGGTGTTGGTTCATTTGCTCGACTCGTTAAAATTACAGGTACAGGTACAATATTTTCCGGAAACAAAACCAGCAATAGAAGTGTGTTGAAAACTTAGCTGATGAAGCTGTGTGCATTGCTTTTACTAAGAAATCTGTCAGCCTTCTGCTGAAAGGCAGAAAAATTAAGCTGCTTTAATATAATGGGACATGTGGAGGTCAGCACATTGGTATTGTTAAATTATCATGGTTGGACGTTTAGCCAGATGTCAGATTCATCTCCTTGTAGAACGACAGAGCTTGTGTATCCGTGGCTCCGGTCTGAGCTCGAGGAAGAACCACGCTGTTCACAAAAAGATCTGAAAGATAATTAAACATCTGTGAGTCGCTCAAAGATGTGAGGAACTGTCTATTTTAAGCATGTGGCAAAGAGTTTAGCTAAATTTGAACTGTCAGATGGAAGCCTTTTATAAATATAAGCAGTCGTGCCCTTTTAGTTTGGTTTAAACATGTTTAATTATAAAACAGCTGTAAACACTTAGGGTCATCTCACTGTCATTAATTCAAGCAGTGACCTTGAATGTGATCTCAGCTGTTAATGTGCCATAAAATCCAATAACCTTGTGGTGTGTCCTTTCCTAGACTCCATTCTTAAAAAGATAATCACACCTTGTAATTTGAACTATCCGTACGGTGCACGGGATTTGGCTTTGTTTCCTCACCAAGGTTTGGCCTCTTGCAGAATGAGTCTCTCTGGCTGGAGTCAGAAGAAGCTGACGTGCTCTCTGTGGAGTTGGAATTGACAGAACGAACTGATGGTACTGCTGCTCTTAAACGTTTTTCTTTTGGCTTTGCGAGGACTCTAACAGATGCTGAATTGCTCCACTCTGAAAAAACATAACAGAGGTCAAAATTTGCTTTAAATCAGGGTTAATATTCAGTCTTGGAAAAAAAAAATAGAATCCAAATGTATTGACTTCCAAGTGAGAAAAAAGGCCAACTGAACATCCAGTTACTAAATAAAAAGAAAAAAAATATGTATTTTGGACAAATATGGTGGGCTTTTAACATCAAATTGAATCTACATTTGAATAAAAAAAATAAGGAAATATGTTTGGTCTAAAACTGAAAATCTTTGCTTCTTGGCAATAAATTCTACACCCTTGGGAAGGTGGTTTTAATTTGTTCTATGGTAGTACATTTGTAAAGAGAATAGATTAACTATACATATTGCATTTATTAGTTATATGTATTGAAACACAACTTATTTAAATAACACAGAATATAAACAAAGGTGTGAAATGACCCATTATAACACATGCATAATGTTTTATAACTTGCAGAAGTTAGAAATAATAAGTGTGAATTATATAGCTGTTGTTTTGTACTTAAATATCCAGAATTGCATTAAAATGTGTTTTTCATATGGTACATAATGTTGTTATGGTAAATTAGTAGGAACTCCATTAAATGCAAGTAGTGACAACCTGATTCAAGCAAATAAATGTAGAATCAGTGTATTAAGTTGAGTGTTGGTACCAGAGTTCTCGTCAAGGCGAAATCGTCCAAAACAGAGATAGGCCCTCCACTGTTTCCTCACGTTCTCCTTTAACAGACAGTGGAACAGGAAGACAAAAAGCCCTGGAGATAAAGAAATTAATTGGAAAGCCGAGTGAAAAAAGACATGGACTTAAAATTTTACCGAACCACAGCTCCCATACCACATCCCTTAAAGGGAACTTAAGTTTGAACAGAGTTTCTCTCCTAAGCAACATTGCTTTGGTAAGAAAAAAAGATTCTAATCATTACAGGCCTTTGCTGGCTTTGGTGTCTCATAGAAGTCCTAGAGGACTCTCTCATTTTTGCCCAGTTTTTATTACTGTTGTATTTTAGTCCTTATAAATTTCTTGTCACTTTTTGGTTTTTTTATGTCCAGCCAGAAAACAAAAAAAAACCTTTTGAAATAAATTCCTCCAGAATTACCATTAATGCTGATAAACTGTTTATAAGCATCTGATTAGAACCTAATAAAACGGATTGAAAAACCCAATCGCAGTCTATGGGCAAAAGCTGGGGTAGACGCTGCACAGATTGTTAGTTTATCACAGGGAGACACACAGGGATCAACCTAACAGTCATGTTAGGAGAAAGCCAAAGTATCTGGAGAGAACCCAGAGATGCACAGTGACGACTTTCAAACTGCCTGCAGAAAGACACCAGACCTGGAATCAAAAATAGGACCTTCTTGCTACAAGGCAACAAAATGCTACAGTGCATCCCCATGTCAATACTTTTTACAATTTAAATACTGCTAATGGGGCCATTTACATTGGATTCAAATCATATTGACTCTAACCCAAGTAATCCACAGACCCAAAGTAATCAGGGCAAATTAAGATAAGGTTAAAAACCACTGAGTCGCACTAAACCACAATTGTCCGTATGGACAGTCACTACACAAGACTTCATTGCTGGAGAAAATGTTGAAGTCATTTTTTAAATAGGGTGACCAGATTTGGGTCTCTGAAAAGGAGGACACATTTTTTGGGGGGGGGGGGGGGGGGGGGTATGTAGCTATACAAATATGGAGTAAAAATGAGTTTGTCTCATCTGGCTAAATTAGTAGAACAATTTGATATATATTTGGAGTCAGTGGGTCACATGACCTGGAAGCTATTGAAGAAATATCAATTATTTTAGTAATAAAAATTTTAAAAAATATATACAAAGGGTCAAAATGGAATAAAAATGAGTGTGTCTCATCAGGTTAATGTAGTAAAAACAATTTCACAAAGAATTTGAGTCGGTGGGTCATGTGACCTGGAAGCTATTAAAGAAGTCCCAACTTCTGTCTTTAAAAAAAGCTTAGAATTGCATAAAAACAAGTTTGCCTTACATGTTATCAATTGGTATGATTTTATATTAGTTTCGTCTTAGCTGGTCATAAGATAAGGAATTTATTGATTTTTGTTTCTCAAGAAGTCCTTGGTTAAAAGATTTGTTGACGGTCCCTAAATGCACCACCGTTCGTGATAGGAGGGAGCAGCTGAGAGACGCTGGCCGACATCAGAGTTCCTCGGTCGGATCAACCGTTTGCTAGATACCGCTGACCCCAAGGAGCTTTAATATCCAACTTCAACCAACATCAATGCAGTGCCTACGGCTGCACTGTAGTCGACCAAAATCCTGGACAATTTAGAAATTCCCTGCGGACATTTTTTTAGATATGAAAAGTAAACCATGTTCGGGAAAAAGAGGACGTTTGGTCACCCTAGTTTAAAGTTTGGGGGGGGGGGGGGGGGGGGGGGGGGGGTTCTAAGCAAGACAATAGTCCCAAATAAACAGCCAAAGAAACTCCTCATTGGTTTTAGAAAAGGAAAGGCTGGAATATCCCAGTCAGTCACGCCTGACCTGTAGAACACTATTGGAAGTAGATGAGGATCTGAGTACAGGACCAAGAACAGAACATGTGTTGCATTTCTGAGAGCGTGCAAAGCATTTGTTCCCTCTTTAGTCCTTTTTTATTTGTACCCAGAAAATATGATCACTAATTTGCTTTATTTTTTTCTTTTATTTAGTGATAACTTGGAGTGCATTGGACATCTGGTGTAAATCTTATGTCAAAGCTCCTATTAGAAATGCGTAAAAAAAGAAAGGCCTTGACATTTTCAATTTTTGTCTCGGTTCAAAGCGAACGTACCTTGCAATGTGTTCAACCCAGAGAACAGGTAAAGCAGAACTACTCTTGCTGGTCCCCAGGTGAAGAAGCCTACAGTCCACGTTAGTCCAAGTAAAAAGGTGAGGCTAGCTACACCCTTCAGGTCCTGAAGAAGCCCTCTCCGGGTCCCTGCTGGGCTGTTGAAACGCATACGGCGAATCTGAATCAGTACTACGACAAAAACCTAAGGAGAAATTCATAAGGTTTTAATCCGTTATTTTCTGAAGAAATTTCAAGTATCCAAAGCACAGAATTACTTTTTGTTTTGTTTTAATTGAGCGTATTCCTATGAGTAATCATTTATAATATAAACTTTAATAGTTTCGTATACAATTTAAAAGTGCCTTTAAATGAAGAGCTCCACAAAAATAGTCCACTTTGATTACAAATGTTCAGGTTGTAATTTTAAATCTTATTTACCCCAATGTTGAAGAGACAAATCAGCCCAGCGTAGGCAACCACAGACACAAAGAATGTCACATCATCCTGAAGCCAGCAGCTGTTATGGCATAAAGTAACACAACATAAATTATCATTACACAAAGAGATATTATAAAGGCAAAGGAAGAAATACTGTAATTTATTGTACGTGTAAAATATCTGAATATTCACTTTGTCGCCTTTCCTACATGATTATTTCTTAAACTGGGTATAATTATTTAGTGTTGTTACATACACAAACTCTTATTATAATATCAAATATTTGCCATAGGTAAAGTATACTGGGACGTTTACTTCTTTAGTAACATTATTTGATGAGTTTATTTCTACAGATATGTAACTCCTGCAATTTTTTGACTAAAAAATCAAAACGTGAAACATGGATACCAAGCAAACTCATATCTTACAAGGTGTCGGAGTTGTCCAAAGGCTTGAAAGTTGAATCAGCATCTGTGTAGAGTTGGCCGCCGTATGCATCGCGATTTACAATGAGAACCGTGACGCAGATTACCAGAGGAATCCCTAACAAAGAGTTAAAACCTCAATACTTTACGTTTAAAGCTGCTTTGTGAGTTATTTAGCTATTATGAGTTTGCAGAGCTTGGATTACAGCTTACCCCATCCAAGAGCACAGAACTTGAGGATATAGGAGGGGACATAGACGTTGAAGACTTTGACAAGGGCAAAATACATGTTGATGGCCTCTAACCCCATCCAGGTGAAGGATGCCAGGAGGAAGTAGTGCAGCATGGATGCTGCTGCCACACAGAGGCCATACAGACCCCAGGAAGACAACCAGGAGTTGAGCAGAAAGACCAGATTCAACCCCAGCAGGGCCAAAGAGAGGTTTATGAGGATCTGAGAGGGGTAATCTCTACGAAGCTTTCTAAATCAGACATTGAGATGAGCGTTACAGAGAGAGAGAGAGAGTTTAAGACTTGAAAAAAGTAAAATATTTATCAGATGATTAGATATTTAGCCATAACCTTTCTATATATGGCTAGAAAACGTTAGACTAAGCGACTATTTGGAATAATTTGAGTGCATATGTTAACGTTGATCTAACTTACTCAAAGGCCATATATGTGAGAAGGGTGATTCCTAAGAACAGAGATGAGACTCCACAACCAGCATAGGTGATAATGGTCAGGATCTGCTCGTTAGCCGGGTCCAGCTGAGTCCTGGAGACATCCTATGAGTTCAGATAGAAAAATATCAACAGGATTGACTTTTAGCTTGATTCAATCTCAGGAGCTATCTTCCCTTTATGCATTCCTCTCCTCAGCTCCCCCTAAAGGCCTCTTATAGAACTTGATTCTATCAAGTGAGGTGCTTCTGGGTGATGGGGGCTTTATGTCTAATGACACGATTACTTTGGTTGATTTTAACATATGTTTTAGATCAGCACCTGCTGAGAGACCATTGCTATGTCTAGTTTTTTGAGGGATGACGTGTATCTTTTCATGAGTAATTTAAAGAGAAGCATCTCCACAGAATGACAGATCCACCATCAGTGAGCATTGAAATGCTTTCTCACCTATTATTTATGTCAAACCAACCAGGAGGGTTTATTACTGGAAGTCTATTTGAGTAACATAAAAAAAAAAAGTCATGTAGATCACATCTAAGCCCAGCTGTGAGCTTTATTGATATTCTTTGGAAAACTGTAATTTTTTAATCATTGTACATGTTAAATCTAGTTGTCATGAATAGAATGGTTATGTTGGTTATGTTTAGAAAAAAACAACTCATTAACAGTGACAGGCGCTAAGCGCCTCAAAGGAAGATGAAGAAGAAAGGAATAATACATTTGTTTTAATACAGGCAGGGTTTTCTAATAACTGAAAGGAATCAGAAAAAAATATTCACACCTTAAACCTTTCCACATTATGTGGCCTTATAACTAGATATCTTTTTAGGACTTATGATCCGTCAAGTGTTGTAATATAAATATAATGTTTTTACAAAATAAAAATCTAAACGCATACGACATGCATTTGGATTATTCCCACTAAAGGGTGCAGTGAGATTGGACAGACAGTTAGGTCTGGACTTTAACTAGGCCAATCTAAGACATTATGATGTGGATGTAAGCAATTTATTGAAAATCTGCCTGTCTACATATTTATTTAGTAATTTTGATGTTAAGCAGGAAAGTTTTCCATTCAAGCAATATTTTGTACCAAGTATTGCAGATTACTAAAAAAAAAAAGAAAAAGTAAACTCAAAATTCTGTTAATTAAAAAAAAATGTTCACTGCAGGTTTTTGTGTTTAATAATTTGAGATTCTGGAAACATATTTAGTCTGACTTTGCCTTTTGGTTTCCAAAATCTGTACTGTTGATTCCCTCTGCTGTAATAATGTAATGTAAGTTAGTTAAGCATCTTACTTTGTTTTATAACCACAATTATTTGACATACTTTAATTGAGATCATTGCTTTAAAACATTGATTCCCAAAGTTGGGGTAGCGATGCCACTTGGGTATGAGTATGAGGTCTTTAGATCCACTACAGAAAAATAAACAATAAACATCTATGTTAAAGTGCTTCAAACTACAAAATCACCTAAAAATGGACAAAATCAACCACTTTTTTGATATTTTCTAATATTTCACTGATTTTGTAGAAATGTTTGTATGCTCCAATAGTACTTTGGATCATGGGCCGAACTCTGGTCCCATTTTGTGCGTCCGAATCACAAAATGGTATCTCTGCAGGAAAATAACAATTAGGTGCTAAAATCTTCTCATTTTAGCTCTGCCTGTTGAATCCGACTGTCAGAGTTTCCAGGAATAGGTTATCTTCACCAAAGGATTCTTACTAGAAGAACTCCAAAGTGTGTGAGATGATTGCAGAGGCACGTCGTTTTGCCAGCAGTGCTGTTGTATTTTCTGCAGCCGTGATCATCCCAGTCCCCGTTCCCATCTAGATGTGGACGGATAAATAAAGTACAGTTGTTGTTTTTTTTTATCATCTTCTGATAAATATGAAGAAATGTGTCTCTAAATGTGGACCTACTATTTTTATTGAAGTTCCAGTACACACACTGGACTTCTTTATCATACTAGGAAATAGAAAAAAAAACTGTTAATCCGAAATGTTAAAAGCTTATTTGTTCTTTACTGTTTTAGTGCTTATTTGAATAAAATCTCTCCAACTCTGTTGGGCTGTAAATGGTGCAGCATGATGGTAACGTCTTCAGGAAGGTCTTTGATTGGGGAGCTGCCGTTGGTCACGCTGGCCGATACCACAAAGGTGTTGAGGATGGGCTTCTCTTTATGGGTCTGAAGAGACAGAAAACAGAAACCACTTTCCTTCACCAAAATATGCATATAAATTAAATAATTGATAATTTTTCCTCATCAAATACTACCGGAAAGAGCAGTGGGTTGGCATAGAACTGAAACTGGATTCTAGGGTGTTTCTGGTTCACACCGTATTGTGCAAAGTTCTTCTGCAGGACAGAGGGCAGGGAAATGAAAGCCACAGTGCCGTCTGTAGGATACCTGTTAATAAAAATCTACACAGTAGAGAAAAGCAAATCCTTAATGTTACACTGCATGTCTAAATATATTATGGATTATTTTGCACAGTAGGGGACTGTTAGAAGGAATCAGTATTCTAAAACAATGACAAAAAAATCCATTGTCTCTAATTAATAAATGGACTTCATTTTATAATGATATGCTATTTGATAAGTTGTGATATTAGATTTTAATGCATCAGTCTCAAAGTATATAAGACCTTAAGTAAAACGCATAAGTAGCAATAAGTATACATAGATTAAACTAGAATTAGAATAATTAAAATGAATAAGTTTGAATTTAGGTCTAAATGGCCCGTGTACCTTTCTGTTTGGCTAGACATTTAAATAAATACAGCACCCTCCATAGTTATTGGGACCGTTCTATATCCATAGAAAACCCTATAAATGAAAATATTTTGTTTTTTAAAAACAGTCCCCCTGCTGCTCTTCAAAACCGAAAAGATCAACCTACAGAAATCTATCTGCCAATCAGAGAGCATGAAGGATCATACAGCTGGAGTCGGTCCCATAAAAGTTACCTGACACACGGTCCAATCGTTAAAAACAGTTAACCGGAAAAAAGAAAACCCTTTTTCTTATGGGAATGTAAGTCCACAGACATAAATCCTGTAGGACACCTATTAGTTAAGCTGTAGAGGAAAAAAATCAATTACTTTGGAAGATCTACACCTCTGGAGCCTCTATGATCCACCATAGAAAACATTGGATTCTTTCTGATGCTAAAAGTGTTAGGAATCCAGTTTGTGTGGGTTGTTTTTTGTTTGTTTTCCTCCACCACCAGCTGGCGCCTGGTTCTCGTTGGCCTTCTCACACACCTGCGGATGGTTGCGTCATTAACGGAGGACTCTTAAGCTGCTGACTGCCACTACCCCTACGCCAGAGTGTTTGCCAGTTTTGGGCACTCTAGCCAAGCTGAGTTTTGCTGAGTCAAACTGAGTTTTTGTCACCTGAGTCTTAGCCTTGTTTTTTGTCTTTGCCTCTCGGCAAGAGGTCATCCTGCGAACTGAATGTTTTGGGCCTTCTCCCCTCTGGAAGGATAATCTGAGCTTCAAACTGAACTGAGGATTCAAACTGGTGGTTTGGATCTACTTTTCCCCAAGGATTGTTTAAACCCGTTCAAGTACCGCAGGAAAACTAAGTGGCAGTCAGCTCCTCCGTTCCTCAAGGAAACACCTCAACCTGGTTAAACCCTGTCTGCCCTCCAACGAGCAAGTCTGTTACTGGAACAATCCACACCGACTGGATTAAAAAAAAGACACCTTTTTCTGGAAACGTGACTCCTGTTGCCTTAATTCCCTTCTTCAAATCAAAGACATAAATTTCCCACTGAGCCTTAACTAACCGCAGAATCTTCCCCTTCACTTTTAAGTCCGGGTTCGCCAGTGTTCGGAGCAGCACTGGACTCCTCTCTACCAACTCACAATAAACCTGTTAAACCTTCCCCTGGTCTCTCTGGTTTTCTGCATGTGGGTCAGATCTTTGGATAAAATCATTACAAAAAGATCCCAAAACCTGTGAAAGGTGTTGTAAGTTTAAAGGTATAGTGGAAGATTTTGACAAATTTTTGAAAAGACCTGTCCTCTCCACTTAAAAAAAAAAAAAAAATGAATGCAGATGCATGTACCCGCTCCCTAGAGGATGCGTGTGAGAGCATGCACGAGCCCATTGCTCCTCATGCGTGCTCTGTTTAAAAGATGCTGTTTGCATCACTCATACAAGCTTACTCTCATTCCAAAAAAGTTAAAAAACAAACCACTGGACTTTGTATCCAAGTTTGAAGGAGTTTAGCTTCCCATCCAGGAAGCTTTTTCCAATTTAAAATGTCAGAAATAGCATTGAGTTCGAGGCTTTGTAGAGTGCACCAAAAATAAAGTCTTGTTTTAACTAAGAAAACATGAAAATTGAACCGGACAAACGTCCCAATAGGAAAAAAGGTTCCTGGATACGAAGCGAAAGAGCTTCAAACTTGGAAAGTCCATTGGATTTGTTTTTCTTTTTACTTTTTTGGAATTACCATGACCTGGATGACTGAAAATCTTCACCAGCATAAAAGCTTACTTTTCAAAAGATTTGCTAATTTTCCACTATGTCAGACTCACCACCAGTAAGTGAAACTGGGGATGAACAGGTAGGACGGCCTTACGTAAACATATCACCAGAATGGTTCACAATTAAGAGGACCACTTATTTTGATGATCCACCCAGAAAAAGAACATCCTCCCCTATACCTTTAGCTGTACTCAGTGTTCAGATAGGAAAGGTATCAGACAACCTCTGGTTTCATGTCGGTCCAGTTAGACAAAACTCCAAAGCTTAAGCTGCTGGTCTGTCCAGGAACTACATCCACCACTGAGAGAGCGACTGCTCGAGCACACAGGGTGTAGGAGCCCTCGTAGCCCACCATCATGTCTCCAACCTCCTCTGTGATGTTGAGAATACTGCGAATTAAGGCACACACGGTGTTTACACACATTTGATGATAGCTCAGGTTTTACTTGGATACTTAAATCTTCTTCATGTCCGTACGTGTTTGTAAAAGGTGTCAGGTTGCTGTTTGTTTCCAGTATGTCTGAGATGACGTTGATCAGAGCTTGGCCAAGTTGCGGCGTGACCACGCTGACCCTGATGATGACCTTCAGCTTGTTGAGGACTGTGACCAGCTCTTTGTACATGAGACTCGACTGGTTTCTCAGTAAATCCTCAATCATCTCCAACACATTGAGGGCGTTCTCTGATGATGAACGACAACAGGAAGGAACGTGATAATCAGTGAATACAACCTCTGAAGAGCATGCAGGGTGTAGCAAAGCTTGAAAACAGATTATTCCAATGTGAAAAAGCGAGTGTACCCAATTAACTTTGAACTTTTTGTTTTTACTCAAATAATTCTTCACTGGGACTTAGACTTTAGTTGAGGATTTAAATAAAAAAATAAAACAGATGGTGTGAAAACCTTTTCTAGGTGTTTTTCCAGACATTAGGTTTTGTAGTGTTTGTCTCTCTGCAAACATTAACATTTTTTTTTTTGTATCTGTTTTTTTTTTCCAATTTAAAGTTAATCAGCAGATAACCTTTTATTGCCTTTTGTCTCTATGCTTCTTTTTCTATGTCTGCTTCTGTCTCCTTGAACCCCAGTCAGCCTCGGCAGATGGCCGCTCACACTGAGCCTGGTTCTGCTGGAGGTTTCTTCCTGTTAAAAGGTAGTTTTTCCTCTCCACTGTCGCTACAAGCATGCTTAGTGTGAGGGATTGCCTTTGAGTCAATAAGTGATGCAGTCAACTGGTTTTCCTTAGACAGAAAACTCTGAATCAATCATACAGTATGATCTGGTTGAATTGTCTCTGTAAATTCCCATGAGATGACATGTGTTGTGAATTCGCGCTATATATATATATATATATATATATATATATATATATATATATATATATATATATATATATATATATAAACTGAATTGAATTAAATTTGACCACTTAGTTAGATTATCTAGATTTTGTCATAGCAAATCCAGGTTATTAATTTCCCAAGATCTCCAGTAGGATTTCTGTGTACTGTATAAACAATAATAGCAGCTTGGATGTCTTGTTAGTGTAGATTTTATTCATGAGGTGCTGGTGCCTCTTTAACCAAATGAGATGATGATGAGAGAACTTTTACAATGTGCTGATTGACAGCTGGTAAACAACTGCTCCCTTGTGTAAAAAGAGCTGAACATGGAAAGAATTTCCAGATACTTCAACTTAAGAGTTAAATCATTTATTGTGAATTAGTTTGGTGGTTAATTTTATGATTTTAACTGACATTAAGAAGTAAATATAATTTATGAATTAGCTCCAGACAAGGATGAACACACAAAGGAACGGAAATAGAAGTAAACGAACCAGGAGTGACTTCAATAGTGTCCAGATCAAGTATAGTTTCCACCACTGGGGGGCAGTCTTCATCGTCCGGCTCCAACCAGTGAGTACTCAGGGACAGTTTGCTGTAAAAACAACATAAGTTTTTACAGCAGCAGCTTTTAAGGCTGAACTCATCCTAAGAAAAAATCTTCTTTTTTAGAATAAAGATTTAGTAAAGACAAAAGACCTTTACTTTACTGTCAATGTTTATGAATTGCAAAGTTTAGTTATTGTAAAATGTGTATTTTAATAATAGAATTATTATAATTTTTCGTTTTTATTTCCGTTTATTTAAGGGTTTATGTTAAGTCTCACCACAGCGTCTTCTGTATCGGATGATGGCATATATAATTTTAAAAGTTTAAAACAAAACTGTTCTGTCTACAGGCTTGGTGTTAAAATTAGATTATCTCTAAATAACTAAATTATTTGCATTTTTTTATGTAGGATAGTATTATTTGTAAAACAAATATGGATCCACTTTTTAAAAAATGTAAACAATTTATTGTTTTGTTTTTAAGTGTTGCTATTTTTTTCCTTTCAGTTTGAACTTGTGAAATAGGTTGTGATTCATTATGTTGACCTTTTTTCCACTTAAATTGTGTTTGTTCAACTAAAGAGATATAAAATAAAGCAACATAAATTAGATTTTTTCTCACATGATGGATGTACCTGAACAAAGGGAATCTGTCCTTTTCATATGGCACACGCTTTGCCTCACCCAGTCAGCTGGGCTCTACATGCAGCATTTTGTGCATTATCCTGTCATCATGCAATTCTAATGTGCAACATGTGTAACGCAGAAACAAGTCTGGATTCCAACATTAACAACCTTTCTGGTTTGCATTAGAACAATTAAATCACAGTAGTTTTTAATCCCTCCCCCTTATCATAACTGCACTATCCAGAGGGGACCAACGCTTTGCTAATCAGTTTTTACAATTTTCCTGCTTAATATTGTGCATCTATGTTGTTCCTTATAAATATAAGATCAATGTTTTACCTTTTAAGCTATCTCTTCCTAATTTGACTTGATAGAAAGAATATAAAGTATAAAGTTAGAATGTGACAGACTGATGTCATTAAAATAGGACCTTTAATCTGGAAATCAATTAATTATTTTCCGGTAATTACTCTTTACAACAGAACTATTAGTAAAATCTGTGACCCTGAGCCAACAGAAAGACGTCAGGACAAAACAGAGCAAACATGTACAGATAGAAATAATCAATACTCAGACAGGCCCAAACTTGTTGATGCATTAAATTGATGTCGTTAGCGTCAATTATCTGATATCATAGGTAAATGTTAGAAAGAATAACAAATGTTTTCTTTGTATTTAAAGATGGTTTCCAGTGTAAATCATAAATGCACACTGATTTTATTGATGTCATCATGTAATCTGTCCAGTGAGGTTTATTTCAATGCTCCTGCTTGGTTTTCTGATTCTAAGAAGGATCAAACCTTAACGCTCAACAGGACTTTTGAAGATAAGGCTTTTAAAAAGACAATTCTTTTTAACCTGTATATTGTCACAGGCTTGGTTCTGTTATGTTTCCTGTTGAGTATTCGGTTTAACTTTGCTTCATGTTTTCTAGTTTTATTGGTTAAATTCTTATTTTGTTGTGTTTTCTGGTTATATTTCAGTTCTTAGGTTTTTATTTGTTGCCCTTTTGTGTTGGTCTCCTTTTTCCCTAGCGCCTTAGACCGCTCTCTTCACACCTGCTACCAATCTGCTCGTTAGTTCTCTCTTTGTTCAGTTAGCCATAAATTCTCTCCTTGTGCAGTTCCTCAGTGCTGGTTCCTCGTCTAACTTCATCCAACTCTGTGTCTTCCTTGTCGTGATTGTTTCCCCCTGAAGTCTCCATGGTTTCTGGTCGGTTTTACCTTTTTCTTGTTTGATTTTTTTGATTCCTGCCTCAGTTGTCTGTTAACCTTTCATTACATTTACAAGAAACTCACCTCTGCCTCCCTGCCTCTGCATTTGAGTCCTAAAACCACAACCAAATCCTGACATATATAATTAGAATTTGAACCTCCATCCAAAGGTCACTGATGAGGACTGAACGCATACTGGTAATGTTCAGCTGCATGTGGTCAGATTTTAAATGCCACCTAAGAACTCCATCGTACTCGGAGGTCTCACCAGAGTCGGACAGCAAAGCGCTGAGGGTTTTTTTGGGCATGCGCATACAGCATATCTGCCTCCCATAGTGCTAGGCCACTGGAACAGGCCTTTTAACGTCTGCTGGGTTTCAGCATCACACTGAAAAACAACTGAAAGGGAGGGAAAAACAAATTAAAAGGAAAATAAGCACTTCTTTTGTGTTTTTCCAGCTGTGCAGCTGGTTATCATGTCCAAGAGCATCGGCCATACTTACATATGCGACTTATATGTATGTCTTGTGTTGCTATGGAGACCGACCCATTGTCATATGGCATCAGCAGGCAGCGCCGTATTTGGTCTTCCATTTCCTGTGTGTCTGATTGTTGCACTGACACTTGGACCTGGAAAATTAAGCTCTCTCTGCAGACAGTAATCATTCATAATTTGCTGTGAAGATTTCATGATCTGACATAAAAATGTTTGAGCAGAACGTATGTATTTATAAAAATAGCAAATTAGAATGCTTAGGTTTAATCCAACAAGAGGACAAATTAATGTAAACCAAAATTAAAGGGACCTAAGACACATACACATGAGGACACTGGTGTTTTTTTGTTTTGTTTTGTTTTTCTGCAGCCCAAAGGGCAGTTACACCTGAAACATTTTATATTACTCTACTTCTTTCCAGGAATCCATACCTTAAAACTCCATCTTTCAACATCTGGAGAAAGAAATAAGAAAAAAAGTGCATTAAAAAGAAGATAAAGGATGATGATTGAAGGTTTTCTAGTGTTAACCTTCTCACACATCGTCTTATTTTTGGTCAAATGTTGGCATACAGTCATGGAGGGGTTCAACGTCATATTCATTCTTGATTTCCAGTGAATCACATGAATTGATCTCTACTGCGTGTCTCTAATCCATTATGATCAAAGTTATAAATATACTCTATTATTATTTGTTTAAGTATCCTTAACAATTTTCACCTGAGTCACATGCATTGTCTTTTAGCCTTGAACCGATTATTGACAGTTTTGATCAGAAGGGACTAAGCTTTATGGCATAGTTCAAATTTTAACTGTAAGTTCGTAGTTGGGCTTTTGAGAGGCTTTAGAAGCTAGGTGAAGCTTTATCCATTTTTATTTTAGATGTTTGGGATTGTCCTGTAGGAAAAATTAATTTGATCCAAACTGTCATATTTAGATAAGGGATAAATTAGGGAGAATTTGCTCGGAAACACTGGATGGGTGGATTAACCAAAGCTCAAGCTGATGATGAGCTAAAAGAAGCTTAAACATCAGTTTTATTGTCTAAGCTTGAAGTTTGTTTTATTTTTTAAGGGACTGAGATAATCTCAAAGAAAAAATGATCATTGCTTCAATGTGTAGCTTAAGGTACAACTTAAATGAGAAGATGCTGATTTGAACAGTTTACTGGACAGACAGAACATGGCCACAACAACAAATGTAATGTTTTATGGATTGAAAATGAGCCCTTCAGGCTCCAGCTGTAAGGCATGGTAATGGCATTATCATGATGTGGGACTTTTAATGAGCATGTAAACCGATCCGAAATCAGTATTTAAGTCAATGTCTTCTTTAATGTCCTTATTAAGGCAAATTTACAGAATATCCTATAGAGAAGTGTCTGAAACCAATTAAAAGAAATTAAGCGGCCGATCAGAGGACTGGTTTTAAACCCATTCAGGATTTAATGTCTTAGAGACTTTTAATGGCAACTAAAAACTTGTAATGATTTAGCAAACTGATGAGCGACTTTTAACTGAAAACTGAGGATGTATCTTTTAAATTGTGAATTAGATTTTTGATCTAAATTGGACAGAATCTCCCAAAACTAAAACTTAAAACAACCATTCTTTAAAGAATGCTCCTTATTTTCTGCTCTGTTAACATCCAACCCCGAATAAATAATTGTTTAACATCAATCCTTAGAGGCCCTGAGTTTAAACTGATGACAAACGGTTATAAACTTCTGACCGCAGCTGTATCTACTCATGTTTAGAGAGCAATATTTTAATGTAATGGCTTTTTGGAGCTAAGTTTAAAATGTGTTTATTATTCCTGGAGTTTGTTCATATCATATTTCCTTTGCTTTGATGTGTGTTTGCAATACAATAAACAGGAAAAGATGTTACATTTAAAAATAAAAAAAGAGGCTTTTTATTATTATTATTTCAGTATATCTACTTACTTGCTCTGAAATAGAGTGAACGTCTCTTTCAGGAGGTCTGAAACAACAAGAGATTATTTGCCTATTTTTCAACTTTTTCTGAAAATGTATAAATTAAAAGCTTTATTTCAGACAAAAGAGCTAAAAAAAAATAAGAAAAACATGCAAATATTATAATTAACACACACTCACCGGCCACTTTATTAGGTACATCTGTCCAACTGCTCGTTAACACTTAATTTCTAAACAGCCAATCACATGGCGGCAACTCAGTGCATTTAGGCATGTAGACATGCTCAAGACAATCTCCTGCAGTTCAAACCGAGCATCAGTATGGGGAAGAAATGTGATTTGAGTGACTTTGAACGTGGCATGATTGTTGGTGCCAGAAGGGCTGGTCTGAGTATTTCAGAAACTGCTGATCTACTGGGATTTTCACGCACAACCATCTGTAGGGTTTACAGAGAATGGTCCGAAAAAGAAAAAACATCCAGTGAGCGGCAGTTCTGTGGGCGGAAATGCCTTGTTGATGCCAGAGGTCAGAGGAGAATGGCCAGACTGGTTCAAGCTGATAGAAGGGCAACAGTGACTCAAATAACCACCCGTTACAACCAAGGTGGGCAGAAGAGCATCTCTGAACGCACAGTACGTCGAACTTTGAGGCAAATGGGCTACAGCAGCAGAAGACCACACCGGGTGCCACTCCTTTCAGCTAAGAACAGGAAACTGAGGCTACAATTTGCACAAGCTCATCGAAATTGGACAATAGAAGATTGGAAAAACGTTGCCTGGTCTGATGAGTCTCGATTTCTGCTGCGACATTCGGATGGCAGGGTCAGAACTTGGCGTCTACAACATGAAAGCATGGATCCGTCCTGCCTTGTATCAACGGTTCAGGCTGGTGGTGGTGGTGTCATGGTGTGGGGAATATTTTCCTGGCACTCTTTGGGCCCCTTGGTACCAATTGAGCATCGTTGCAACGCCACAGCCTACCTGAGTATTGTTGCTGACCATGTCCATCCCTTTATGACCACAATGTACCCAACTTCTGATGGCTACTTTCAGCAGAATAATGCGCCATGTCATAAAGCTGGAATCATCTCAGACTGGTTTCTTGAACATGACAATGAGTTTACTGTACTCAAATGGCCTCCACAGTCACCAGATCTCAATCCAATAGAGCATCTTTGGGATGTGGTGTAACGGGAGATTCGCATCATGGATGTGCAGCCGACAAATCTGCGACAGCTGTGTGATGCCATCATGTCAATATGGTACAAACTCCCTGAGGAATGCTTCCAGCACCTTGTTGAATCTATGCCACGAAGAATTGAGGCAGTTCTGAAGGCAAAAGGGGGTCCAACCCGTTACTAGCATGGGGTACCTAATAAAGTGGCCCGTGAGTGTATATAATTGTTCTAAGTATAAGGTTTGTCTGAAAAGGGGTATGAAGAAGTCCACCTTATTTAATCATACTCCTTCACCTTATCCTATGTATTTAAACAGTTTTGTATCAGCATCCTTGCATAGCACACCTCTCTGTATGGGGAAGCAGCTGCAGGTCCAGCACCATCATTAAGTCATCAGGGAGACTCATGTTAAGCTGAAAGGAATTGAGATGTTTCACTCTTGCTTTTTGTCTTGTTTTTTTACTTTCTAGGAAGTTTTAATGTGATTACTTGTAAGGCATACCCAGTTAGGGAGGATCGCCTGTGGGTCGCAGTGTCCTGTTATAGAGACATTCACCTTGACTTCGAAATAAAGTTCTGTTTTGGGAGAAATTGAGTGAGATAAATCATAAGAGTTTTCTTAAGACTCTGAGTTCATAATTATAATTCAAAAACCTGTTACCAGAGGGACCAGAGACATTTGCAGGGGTTCTGGTAATGGTGTAGGTTGTCACTCCTCTGGTAGTAAAAGTTGTAGTAGTTGTTTTCAGTGTTGTTAGTTGGGTGAACGTAGAGCTTGAAGCGGTGTTAAAGGTGGAGGTTGAGACAGAGTTGGATGTTGCTGTGGCACTCTGAGGGCTGGTGGTTGTCATGGAGAAACTCTCTGGAAAGGAAGCAGTTGATCAGACTTTCTGCACAACTCATGAGTATCATATATCCTCGGAGATGTGGGAGCTCTTTCGTACCAACAGGGGTGGTGTAGATGGTGCTGACGTCAGCTAGCAGCAGCAGATCTCTGAGGTCAGTGTAGACGTGTGAAAGGTCGGCGTACATTTCTTTTTGCACAGCTGCAACATCCAACTTAGGGATGACATTCATGTAAACCAGGCAGTAGAACCTGCAAAAAGGAACTCAATATTCAAGTATGGGAAAACATAATAGTGGTATTTAGAGACTTTTTTTTTCTTGTAAACAGAGTCTCTCTCTGTCTGGTGAGCACCTTCAAGGCATGCATTAAATGAATTGTCATTAATATGAGTATTTACCTGGATATATTTTCTGGAGCCCACCGTGCCTGCAGAAGAAAAAGACACAGTTTTAAAATCTAATTCTAAGACTTAGCTTCTCCTAAATGTCAAACATTGCTGTAAGAATGAATTCTAAATTAAGCAGCATAGTTATATTATTAAAGTATATTTATTAAGTAACTATCAAAGCCATTGGAAGGTTATGCTGCCTGTTATCTATGCATTTATGTTTGCTTTAAGCAGTATTCCAGCTGTAACTGTAGTGTGTTTACCAGCCCGTCTTCAGGTGGGGTTTTTATGTGTTCCTTTCTATCGGATCTGCATGAGAGATCACAGACACTTAGTTCACAGTTCATTAGTTCTGCTGTAAAACAGGGTTTAATCAACATAAACCAAAAGGTCAGAGTTGGGAATCTGCTCTTTTTTTTACCTGGTTGCTTCAAACACAGACACTCTGTGCAAATAGATGTCAGATGGTAAAACCTTTCTGAGCTGCGGGAAGAAAATATTACAAATAATTATGAGTTCTTTGCAGTTCAGCAAAGGAAATAGATAAAAATATTATTATGTGTAAAAATATCAATTATATTTGTGCCTATATTTGTTAGTAATACTCATTTCTATTCAAATCACTACCTGTACTATAATAAAAGGCTCTAAATCTCTCTATTTTCTCTTCTGTTTGTGTATCTGTTCTGTAACACATCTAAGCTAAAAAAAAAAAAACATTGATTACATCCTAAACAAAGAGGTAGTCATATTTTCTGTTTTTAATACACAATAAAACTTGAAGATATGTGTTCTTTTTACCCAGCGATGCGCAATGTCTCTGGCCTGGTAGAGCTCGGTGGTGTTTTTGTCGTAACGCATGATCACAAACTGGACGATGACCTCATAAAAAGACCATTCTGACAAAATTAAAACCAGTTAGAAAAAAAGTATTTGGGTTAATATAAAAACAAGCTTATGTTAGTCATAGTTTTAAAGTTGTTTTTTTTTTTTATAAAGTATTACAGAACTTCAATATTCAAGTGTGAATCCTTCAAGTTTACTACCCTTTTTTCCTAACATGTTTCAAATTTATGTTATTCCTTTTTTTTTTATGTCAAATTAGTGTTTGTGCTGTAAAAGACAGGATAACTATGGAGGATAAAAAGTGCCAAAATTCAATAAATAGATACAGCATTAAATAAATAATTAAATGTGTCAATAATTAATTAAATGTGGAATTAAATAAATAAATGTGTCATTCATTAATTAAAACCACGTCACTAATATAAAGTGCCACAATTAAATAAATAAATACAGTGATAAACAATTAATTAAATGTGTAATTCATTAAATAAGCAATTAAATATATAAATGTGTCATTAATTTAATAAAATACATCTTCATTTTATTAAAAAAATATATATAATTATTTCAGTGTGCATTTAATTATTTCATGGTCCTGTGCATCGAAACCATTAAAAGAATCTGTCAAACTCACCCATCAAAGTTAGGGGGCGGGGTTAACGCGAATCGAGTCTCTAATCGATTTGCTTCGCCTTAATGTGTAGGATGACCAATCAGGTGTTAGATAACTGCCCCCTAACTTTTTATCCTCCATAGCTCAAAACTGTTAAACTAGCTGCTCCTTCTTCTCTAGCTGAATATCGGGGCTATAAGAGCATGACAAGCTGAAACCTAACAGGGCACTGAAACATGCACAGGTCTGTCTGCTGTTATTACCAGCATGGTAAAGTCATACCCCACTTTTCAAAAGCATATATCTTTATATATATATATATATATATATATATATATATATATATATATATATATATATATATATATATATATATATATATATATATATATATATATATATTACAGCTGCAAAGCTACTGGGATTTCTTTTACAAACAAAACATCTGACAAATATGGTTTACATTTGTTCTGCACCTTTAACCCTGATCCACATTAGGGGTTTAGTTGGTAATCCTCTTCAGAAAAACTTTTAGTTATACTGGGGGAGTTATTTCTTCCATCCTAATAGTATTTTATATGTATTGTATTCAGCAAGAGGAATAAAACAGTCATATCTCTGTGAGCGATAAAGGACTGTAAAAACTCTGACCAATCTCTGTTATTCAGTACAAATGGAAATAACCAATCAATACCCATCCTCCGCCTCATGCATGGGTGATTGACAGTCCTCTGCAATAATGCAATAATCTGCTGGAGCAAATACACATCTAAAACAGAAAAAGTGAGCCCGATGTTTAAAAATTTCTGCTGTATACAGTAATACTGGATGGCTTTAACTGAAAATTGCTTTGAAATATTCATTCAAATAAATAAATGCTGCAATTATTCCACAAAATTCTCAATATCCACGTTTGAAATATTATACATTTGAAAGGTTATAGTTAATCGGACTGATAAAAAGTAGCAGAACATATATTTCATAAATTCAGAGGCGTCAAACATACACTGCAAAAACAATCCAGAAATAAGTAAAAAATGGCTTAAATTAAGTATATTTAGCCTTAATTTGAGCAGGTAAATAAGATGATTTGCCAATGGAATGAGTATTTTTACTCTTAAAATAAGATAGTTAGATAATATTTACTTGAAATAAGACGATAAAATATTTTTTTCTTATTTTAAAAGGAAATTGTCTTGTTCCATTGGCAAAGTGTCTTACTTACCTCCTCAAATCAAGGAAAAACACACTTATTTTAAGAAAAAATAACTTATTGAGATTTCTATTTTTTGCAGTGTATGAATTATTATTACTCAAGTAGAAGTATAAATCTTACTGTTTAAAACATTTTTATAGAAGTTAGAGTATCAACCTAAGCTTTTTACTCAAGTGTAAAAGTATCTTCCTAAAGTATAAAAGTAAAAGTAATGCAGGAAAAAAAGATCCTTTACTGCACTACCCTAATAAAGGAAATGTTTTCTACAATTCAGGAAGATAACTTTCTTATACACTGTAAAAACGATCTAGAAATAAGAAAAAATGTGTTAAATTAGGTGTATTTATCCTATATTTGAGTAGGTAAATGACATATTTTGCAAATGAATGAATATTTTTACTCTTAAAACAAGATAATTAGATAATATGCACTTGAAATAAAACAATGCAATTGTGTTTTCTTATTTTACGTATAAATTGTCTTGTTCCTTTTACCTCCTCAGTCAAGAACGAATGCACTTATTTTAAGAAAAATAGCATCTAGAATTCGTTTTTTTCCAGTGTACTTAAGTGTTTTAGTTCTATAACTAATGGTAACAGTGTCAAACTTAACTTTGCATCATCCTTAAAAACTATTTATTTTGGTATGTAGGGAGCAACAAATGGGTGAAACCACAAAGAAATTAATGCCTTAATGAAGCAAATTATATTGGGATTTTTTGTTGTTTTTTTTTTAAATACGAACAGACAAAAAGGAAAATAAGCTTAAATGAAACAAAATTAAAGAGTCTACTTTTAAAATATAAGGTGTAGAAAGTAGAAATAAATCTAAAAAGTTGTCTAAAAATAATTACTCCAGTAAAGTATAGATAGCCAAGATTCCTACGTAAGTAAAGTAACAAAGTATATGTACTTGAAACCTCTGCATAAATTATTTTGAAGCATCTAATATATAATTTTTTTTTACTGTATGATCAATGTAATTAACTTAAAGTGATGAATTAGTTTGGAAATCTAACTTATGCTGACTATTCCTGCCTGTGCAAAAAGTTGAATTATTGCAGGCATTTGTTGGAAGCTATTTATTTGTATTTATTCTGTAACTCATTTATTAATATGAGCAGCTCCAGCTGCAGCAGTGCTTGGCGCCATTTAAAGCTCCACATGTCGCTCTGTAGCTGCCTGTATGGCAGCTGCTCCACCGTTGCTCTTCCTCCTCTGTCCTCATCAGTTCTGCATGTTGTCGTGTTGCAACAACTTCTCACTGTTTTCCCACAAACATCACAGGTTCCGTTTTGATAATTTGTGGATCTAAAATAACTGTTCATAGACTTCTTTTATGATCTGCCTGCTGTTTGTTTAAGCAGGGCTACATGCGGTGCTTTGCATTACCTGTTGATGTGTTTTGCACTCACCAGACAGAAAAACTAGTTCGCATCAAACACGTGCATCTAAGCAATTTTCTTGTGAACATGCATTACCTAAAATGGCAGTAGTATCAAAATATGAATTTAAACGATTTTGGAGCCTAAGGTTCTAGTATCTATATTTCCGTATTGAGTCTCACATCACAGTATGTTTATTTAAGAGTGAGAAAAGACCAGTGTGGCGTGTCGCAGTGTCCATTTGATGAAATGTGTGTCACACGGGCGATGCAGGAGTTTTGGGAGCCCAGATACGGCATGCTGGATGATGAATCAGATTAGGTGCACATGTATAGGAGTATTCTATTATGAAGTGTTGAGAGGATGCGACCAATATTGAAAGAGCCATAAAAAGTCCATAACACAGCAAACAGACCAGCAGCGGTTGGGTTGGGGGGTAAATGAAACAAAGCTACAGACATCATGGTGAGACGTGATGGTGATAGCATCAAGCTTTGAATATATTTCTCTTTTGCTGGGCAAGGCAGCTTGTTAGAGCTGATGGAGGTTAAATAGATATAAATATGAACAACATTGGAAAAAGACTTGAGACCCTTTTGCAGAAACAAGCCTATCTTTACAACCTCAGCTACAATATAAGGCTCAAGGTTTTTCTTTTTTTATTCTCTGTTGAAATCTTTGTTTCTACAAAGATTGTTTATAAAAATGAAAAAAGAGATAAATTAGCCTCTGTATTGCATCATATTTACACCTCAGGAGGAAAAGGTCACAAATCTATGATTTATTCAGTCAGCTAATTAAAGCACTACTTTCTTATTCTTTCTACTGGACTCAAATTACTGTAGAGGTTGGATTTTTATGTATCTCACTCTTGTTGCTTTGTTGCAAAAATGTCAAGGCCTCATCCATGTCTTTAGCCTGGTTGCCAATATGTGTGGAGGGCACTGTTATTGATTGCAGAATGACTTCTATATTTGTTGACTGAAGCACAGATTGCCAGGATTTAATCTGCGGGTTATGTATATAAATTAAGTAGAGCAGTGAATATGAGAGTGGAAAGAGCTGTAAACGGTTTGATGATCCTGACACAGCACAGTTCTCTTCTATTGCATAACCGAATGTAGAAAACTATGATTCCTCCTGCAGGACATGTTTAACACAGAAGGAAAAAAAAAAGGTTTTAAAAGAATAAAAGCCACTCACCACACTGTAAGGTTATGTCACAGACTGGGACACTGTACTCCGTGTCCCAGTTGTCCCACACCCATTTCACCACATCGCCTTCTGTACAGCTCAGTGATGTCACTTCCTCGTCGTTGCGCTCTCTTCCCCACATTCTAAACAGGGAGATTTTTCCCAGCATGCCGCTGTAAGGAAGGATCGTGATGGTCCCGTCAGAGATTTTGTGTCCCACGCCCAAAGTGAGCGACCCATTGGGAGCCAGTTGGCAGCACATCGTTGGATTGAGAGGAGGGGTTTTTGAATGAGCTTAGAGAGAAAATCCATTGAAGATTATTCAGAAAAAGTTACTCAAACAATCCGTTTTTACCAGTCAATGCAAAGCCAACCTGCTGTGATGTTCATCAAGTTCCCATTAAGGTAGAGGGCAGGCCTATCCTTCGTATGGGACCAGGTGAGGCAGAGAATGTACCACTCTTTAGACAGGAGGGGAATCAGTGGGGTCGTCCATTCCTCTCCAAACAGCCAAACCACTAAGCGTCCTTGTTTTCCACCCATGCCAAGCTCTGCATACTGAAATTTAGGATGACGGTACATGAAGATTGTCCATGATGAGAAACCCTGGGCCTAGAGATGATTCATTTGATGTATTAAAGAATGCGGTCAATCTGCTACAAAGAAAAACTTTCATTCCTCTCCTGTACCTTCAGATTTACATTGACACAGACGGTGAGTTCCTGCAGAGCGGGGATGGAGACTTCAGGCTTTAATTTCCAGTGGCTCTGCCCGGTGGTTAAGTCAGCCACTTTGCCCCACAGACTAGGTGAATTGTCTGTGACAGCCAGATAAACGCCATGGTAAAAGAGGGAAGTTTGTGAGGTTCCTACGCTGCATCCTAACTTCACAAACCTTGTCCTGATTACAATGATAGCATGATTTTAGAGATTCACCGATCCGATATTTGGATCGGCTATCGGGGAGGAAATATCGGATATCAGAGATCCATGCAAATTTCTTTCTATGTGCTGCTTATTTGTTAATAGATTATATAAAGTACATTTTTATCTGTGTGAGTTTGCTACGTCAAGGCTAAAGACATGACAATATATATGGTTCATTCAGACAGCAGTTGAATGGGTATCAGATATCAGCCGATACGCTCAGCCCAGGTGTCGGATTGGATAAGAAAAAAATGGATTGTGCATCCTTACACAATTTTTCTAGTGATCTTTGGTCTTTTTGACCCAGAGGTTAAACAGAGTGGATGTTAGGACTCCAGTCTGTGTGGTCTGTGTTTCTGTGTTTGTCTTCCTTCCTCCACCAGGCGGCGCCTGGTTCTGATTCTCCTCCTCACACACCTGCAAGGGGTTACCTCGTTAATGGAGTGTTCTTAAGCTGCTGACTGCCACTACCTCAACGCCAGAGTGTTTGCCAGTTTTGGGTACTCTAGCCAAGCTGAGTTTTGCTGAGTCAAACTGAGTTTTTGTCTTTGCCTCTCGGCAGGAAATCCTCCTGCAAGCTGGATTTTTTTGGACCTTCTCTCCCTGGAAGGATCTAATGAGCTTCAAACTGAGCCGAGGAACATCCCTTGCTCAGAGCTTCACACTGAGCAAGGGATTCATCTGCACAACAGTCTGTTCAAGTAAATCTGAGTGGCAGTCAGTCTTTCTCCGTTCAACAACTAGCAATCGCATTTTGGGTAACCCTGTTCCGCCATCCAATGTATGAGACAAACACCGGAACACATTCCTCACCTACTGGAGTCTATGAGTCAACCTAATCTCTGGAAACGTGAGTCTGCCAACCTATTTTCCTCTTCAAGTTCGAGAATCAATTCTCCCACTGAACCTGAACTAACCGCAGTGTCTTCCCTTCACCTTTCAGTTCCGGTAGAGCAGTGTTCAGAGCAACACTGGAATCTCCACCAAACTTCTCAATAAACCTGTTACACTTTTTCCCTGGTCTCTCTGTAATGGTTTCTCTGCATTTGGGTCTGAACTTTAGTTAAATCATGACAGTGGAAACACATCAAGTAGATCTGCCACTGAAGTTCTTCCGCTTAGCAAATTGTTCTTAAAAACTGTTTTAAGGAACTAGTGACGGTTCAAACCAATCAAGACAATTGAAATAGTCATGGGTTGACTACTGGATCCAGATGCACCAAGTTGGAATCGTTTTCTGCAAAATATTGTTTTGATTATAGAAAACAAATATTAATTTCCATTTCCACTCGCCCCTTCATTCTTATTACTTCTTCCTATGGATAACATGACAATGGATAACATTGTTTATGTCTACAAGTATATTTGAAGCATCTTCGGCTGCTTTGCAAGTTCAATCTATGCTTGAGAGGGTGGAAAGGAGCACCAGCATCAGAAAAAGTAAGTTTTGTCCTTTTGTACCAACATGTTTGCTTAGGATGGGAAAATGTTATCATTGGCCCAAACTTTGATTGATAATTTCCTTCTATTTGTTCAAGATTTGTCTTTGTTATGCTTATTTAGCGAGGATAAAGACTAAAATAATTTTAAATTTTAATAGTCATCTTTGCAGCATTCCTTTGTTTTAACTTTTCATGTCCAGATATGTACAGTATAAATCCGACTTTTAGCCTTTATCCACTATATAAAGGACACACTTTTATTAATTCTTATTTAATGCTGTAGATAATGCATCATTTAAATGGTAAGCCTACATTTTTTTTTTCAAATTGGAAATAATACAGACATCTTCCAGAAGACATAAAAACAGCGTCGCTGCTTCATGTCAGGGCTCTGGCTGAGACTATCCAACATGTTATTATTACTGCTATTTAAAATAAATCTGTTAGTTTAGTTAGTAATTTTAAAAAATATGACTTTAACACTAATTCTGTCCAGTTTGTGAATGATTTTGGGCATAAAATGCTAACTTTAATCACTATTCAAACCTATTCTGGTTTCTCACTACCTTAATAAATCCACACTGACTCAAATATCAAACAGGGGTCATTTAACCCATGTTTGACCTCTTGGGAAGTTGAAATGTTTCTTTGAAGAGGTCCTGGGCTTCTTTAACCAGGTCTAAAATGTTGCACAAAAAAGCTGCTATTTTTAGAAATTTTGCAAACCCACAAAAGATAATGAAATTATCCTAAATATTAAAAATCCTAAATCTTATTTCTGTTGCACGTAAGAACTGATATTTTAATCTAATTAGGACAATTCCTCTGTCTCAATATAGAGTTATAATCTTCATTTTGTAAGTGGCAAAGATTTGGGAATGGAATGAGAGAGGTGTCCTTCAGCTAAGAACGAAGTGAAATATTTTGATAAGGCTGGAGCCATGGATGTCTAATCATTTGCTAACGTGTATGATGTAAAATAAGATGATGTGGCAGACTGGAGATATATAAAATACCTTTTTAACTGTTAACCAGGGCCACTTCCTGAGAGGTGAGCAGCTGCCTTCTGTATATTCTAAGCAATTTGTCTAAACTAAGTCAATTTACAATTTCTATCAGAATCTGTCACCATGCCTCCTGGTTATTTGATACATATAAGCTATGAAATGTTATTTAAAGAGTTTGTCCAAAGTGATCTCTTTTCAAGAAAAAGTACCGGAAAGATAGAACATCAGGGTGCATTACACAGAACCTATATTTAACAAAATATAGTACATTTTAAAGAGTTTTGATTCTTATTAACTTAGCAAATTCCCAAGATAACTAGCTATAATTCGCAAAAAAAGTTATTTTTTATTTCAAGTTCCTTGACTTCATTGCTGTGAGCACAAATCAAGCAACTGTCATCTTTTTAGGGTGAGTTCATTACTTTTTTAGCAAAAGTGTATTTAATAGTGCTACACAAATATTTCAGTTGAATGAATCAAATTCTTTTTCTAAAGTCATACAGTTGCTTATTTTTATAAAGTTGTAGCTGCTGGTATGTAAAAAAAAAAATGAAAGACAGAAAATAGCTCACATCCAGAAAGTTGAAGATACTAAAATCCGTGAATAATTTACTTGAACAAACAGTTCACAGATTGTCCTTTACCTTTTAACATCTGCATGTTTGTTTTTTGGATTATTTTGACATATTTACAACCCAAACTGCAGCTTTCTCAGGCTTTTGAGTTCTCAGCCACACAGATGGTAACCTAACCAATAATAAACCTAAATATTCAGACAGCCTTCTTTTAGAAATGCCAAAAAGTCATATATACTCTTATATATATGACCTTATTGTAGAAAACTTGTTGTGCCTTAAAGTCAAATATCCTACCTCGCTTCTGAGCCGAAGCTTGACTCAGGAGAAACAAAGTCAGGAATACAGCCAGTTGGTTTTGTAAGAAAATCATCTTAAATCTAAAAATAATAAAATAGAAAGAGAACTGTTATATTTTTCAAATATAGGTTGTTGTTTTTTTGTTGCAAATAAAAATAATCAAATTAAGGTCAACCAGACTTTAAAATAAGGGAGGTCTTACCTTCAGCAAATTACCTGGAAAGCAAAAGCAAACCTTCAATAAATGTTAAAGGCTCTCTGCAACAGCAGCAGCAGTGACTGTTTGTGCAGTAAAGAGGCATCTGGCTTTGATTTGTCCTGTTGTGTAATTATGTGTGTGCAGAGGACATCGGATAAGGAGACAGGAAGACCAGGTGTGTGTTTCAGCTGCTTCTTTCAACAGTCACTATGGTTTAATTTGAAGAAAAGAAAATTATTTCTGCATGAAAAGCTTTTCTGCTTTAGTGTTTTTGCTTTAGGATCGATTCTAGGTTTGAGGAGCAAGCAGATAAAATAAAGTTAATGAAAGTTATCTTTCTCACCAAAACAAAAGCCCCAAAATATAAGCTAGCATGTTTTTGATAGGTGGACATGATTTGTATAAAATTCGTTTTTTTCAGGCTTTTTACGATCAGAATGTTCGTATCATTGATTTATCCAACAAAATAAGATATTCGCCATGTGAAATATTAGGGATACCAAAGAGATGTGTAGTGGGGAAAAAAGTATTCAACTTTTCACCCCAGTTAAATATACAGAGATTGATGAATTTCACTCAGTCTGCACTTTAGTTTTATATCTTTGCAAAGAGAGAACAGTTCATCATACAGCCCCGGTAATCAGCCCTGTTTTGCCTGGGCCGTGTTTGTTCCCCCTTATTTACAATAATGGAAAGTTGTCAGAGTCAAAACAAATTACTGACACTTTGGTTAAACAGTAACGTTATGAATAAACCATTAGAAGGAATCTGGTTTGTTATGGGAAGAAGCTATGTCTGGTCTAAAAAAACCCTCACACAGGGGAATTGTGTGGCCTTGCAGGTGAAACAAACTAAGTGAAAACTTTTATAATGAGTAAATAGGATATATTAATATATGAAATATAAGACACTAAATTTCCGACCATAGGTGTGTTCAGAAACTCTATTCAGATGATTGAAACCAGGATCCACGTTGCCACCAGTGCAGAGCCTCATCAGATATGGCAGCTGTAGGCATTTGAAGGTTCATATTGAGGCAAAGCATTTTAGACTCTGCCTCTGTCTGTCTGACAGTGATATGAAGCAGATTGACGTTCTGCAGGAAGACAGAGGGAAACTTCGGAGAATTTTTATTTTCTTCACCTTCCGACTTATGGGGACATGAATAAAATGAGTTCTTCAAGGAAGGAAAGGGGGGCTCTACCATGAGGTTTGTGCACTGCAAAATATCTAAATCGAGATACCGTAAGTAATTTTTTCTTAAAATAAGTGCATTTGTTCTTTAATTGAGGAGGTAAAAGAGACATTTTGCCAATGGAACAAGATAATTTACACTTAAAATAAGAAAACACAATTGCATCGTCTTATTTCAAGTGCATATTACCTAATTATCTTACTTTAAGAGTAAAATTACTCTTTCCATTGGATAACTAGCTCATTTACCTGCTCAAATTAAGGGTGAATACCAGAGATGGCAAAAGTACTGACTTTCCGTACTTGAGTAAAAGTACAGATACTTGTGTTAAAAAATACTCTGGTAAAAGTGGATGTACTGATTAAACCTCTTTCCTCAAGTAAAAGTAACAAAGTACAGGCTTGTAAATTTACTTAAAGTATAAAAGTAAAAGTAGAAACCACTTTTTTCATGCCGTTGCCTACATTTTAAATGGATGTCTGCCAATAGGACTAGATCTCCGTTGTGTTCATTTTCAATCATCTCGTCGTCCATACTACTATGCTAACGCCACCGCCACCAAGCTGCAATGATTTGACGTGAATGAATACCGCCGAATCTGTCGATTCATCTTGTAGTGGTGCGTCAAATGCAACGTAGATTCCCATCCAATTAGATTGAATTTGGTATTGATGACGTGAAAAATAATAACGGTAACTCCATTGAAATGATTAAAAACTAAAGTAACGAGCCAATTTTTTTAAATGTAAGGAGTAGAAAGTACAGATATTTGTGTAAAAATGTAAGGAGTAGAAGTAAAAAGTCGCCATAAAAATAAGTAGTAAAGTAAAGTAAAAATATCAGAAAAATCTACTTGAGTACAGTAATGAACTATTTGTACTTCGTTACTTCCCATCTCTGGTGAATACACTTAATTTAAGAAATTCTTACTTATTTCTAGATCGCTTTTGCAGTGTGGTACGCCAACGAGGCATCCTGTGACCACTCAGGTCTTGCTTGATTGAGTGGAAGTGTAATCGCAGTGTAATCGAATTATAATTGAGAACATGTTACATACCGTATACCTAAAAGAACTTCATTAACTGGTCAAATAAATCTGCCAGGACGAATTGAAGAATACTTAAAGAATAAAGGTTATTAAATATTAAAACTTTTCATAAATTTGGTATGATTGTCAATAAAAACGTAATTAAAAACTGTATTGAACAGAGGTCCTTATTATAGAAAAACATTTTTCAGAGTAACGCAGATGTACTAGATTAATGGGATGAAATGATAGGTTGGAAATGTATGCCTGCATAGTTAGGATTTAATGACAATGCTGGGAATATATTGGAATGAAGGTGACATGAATACTGATTAGTTAAAATCCACAAACTTTCAGCAGATTAATATCTTCCTGAACTATCACAGCCCTCATAAAAGCCTCTTTTTATTTTGTTGTTAAACTTGAACAGATATCTAAAAATGTTGACGCACCAATCTTTGTCTTGTCAGTGCTTATTTTTTATTTCCCTGACTGTAGATTTGATGGCTGCTTAACTCACAGAAGACCTTCAAGAACCTCCCTGCTTCCTTTGCTTGTTTGACTGATTCTATAATGAAGAAAATCTGCTCCATGTCAGCAGTAAACCTGTAGAAATACAACAAACACCAAACAGGATTTTATAGAAAGTTTATTAGATTTTTCTTGAGAAAAACATCAAGATATATATCAGCTTAAGATAAATGTGTCTATCATGAAGTAAAAAACTGTTTACTGAAGGTTTCAAAAGCACCTCTCCTTTTGCAAATGCTTTAACAAAACATGTTAAACCTGACTTTAATAAAGGTTTATTTTAACTTTAAAGGCACTAAAATGTTCAGTTATTTATATTATAAATGAACAAAATTAACTCTACTCAAACGATGCTCATATATTTAGTTCTTCTGACATCCTGCAAATAAAAAAAGTCAAATTTGACTTAATTCTAGTTTCATGCTGAAAGATACAGATTCTTCATCCTTTTTAGGTGAAAACAGATCAACAGACAATTATTCGGCAAAATTTTGGTTGAAGGTTTTATAAGCATCAGAAAGTCTTTAGTTCTTTTCATCCTTGAACATAACAGGAACAGATAACAGGAAGTTGAAATTTGGACTTTATTTGATGAAGATGGACAGAGAGACTGTTGACCATCACTCGTTGCCGCATTCAGTGCAGAGGATTTCTTGACCTTTGGCCACGAAGCGTTTGTTGGACAGACTGAGGGAGCATCGCTTGCAGTTGAAGCAGTATTCATGCCAGGAGCTGCCCTCAAAGTTTACAACATTCACTCCTTTACCAAAACCTGCAGAGAAAGGAGGAAGAAGTTTGAGACAGAGCTTTTTCTACCTGTGTGGGCGTGTATTTATTACATGGTGGGGACCATTTTTCATAAATCTTAGCATGTCGTGGGGACTGAGTGCTCTAGTGTCCGGTCCCCAAATATAGCAGCTATTTTATGCTTTGGTGTTAGGTTTAGGACTTAAGTGTGAATTGAGTTTAGGTTAGGATTAGGATTAGGTATGAACCAGTAATGGTTTGGGTTAGGGTCACGGATAGGCTGTAGAAATGCGTTAGAAATGAATGGAAGTCAATTGAAAGTCCCCACGAGGATAGAAAACCAGATATGTGTGTGTGTGTGTGTGTCACCGACATGCTAAAGGGTATTTTGCTGTGAGTAGCCTTTCATGGATTTTACTATTATATTTTACAAATATTAATAAAAAAGTCATACTTTCAGTATTTATTTGCAGTCAGTACCCTTCACTCAGTTACCAGTGAATAAAAGCACAGCCTGCTATCTTCAGAGGGGATGTTAACGGTAAATAGTTGATGTAAATATCCTGCTGTTCTATCTAAGACTCAGAGTCCGAGTTACTTTTGTTTTCATTCAATTCAAAAAAAAAAAAACTATCTGAAAAGGGAAAATTATTTTGAAAGTAAAATAGATCTATTGGAGAGAACACATTTTCACACTGATAGCAAAAACTGATGTTAAAAGTTTTGTGAGAAAATACCTTGTCATAGAATTAATAAAAGATAAATTGATATCTCAGCAGAAAAATCCTCAATTGAGAGCAAATACTAGGGGTTTCAGAGAGATAACAGAAAAGTTTTGAAGTATTTTTGATAGAAAAAGTTTTCACTCAGATTGAAAAAATAAATAAAGATATTTGAGAGTAAAAATATACTTTTCAGAGAGCTTTTTTTCCATTGGTAATCTTTTTCCAAATGTTAATTTATCTTTTATTGATTTCAGAAAATACTTTCTCTCAAAACCTTTTCTTTATTCTCAAATAACATCTGTTTTGTTTTTATTTATTTTTCTTTCCAAATTATTTTACCCTTTCAAATTGTTCATTTTTTCTTGAATTTAATAAAACCACAAAAATAAATCAATTTGTAGAAAGTTGTGGAGATTTAGAAAACCAAGCAAAGCTATAAAACAATATAGAATAGAATGGAATTCAACTTTATTGCCATTACACTGTCACAAAGCAACAAAATGTAGTTTGCAGAAGTGATATACAGGATATAAATTTTCATGTAGACTATAAATGGTTTAAAAGCAGAGAGTAATTTTAAGAGGCTATAAAATAAAATATGAAAACTAAATACAGATTATACAGGAAAGTTAGGATAATGTATATATATATATATATATATATATATATATATATATATATATATATATATATATATATATATATATATATATATATATATATATATATATATATATATAAAATCCTTATCCTAACTTTTGAAGACTGCAGGGGACTTTAAACTGCTGCAGAGCTACACCTTCACCTATGGGGGCTGATTATAAAGACATGGCATATTTTTTAGATTTGTATTAATAAGATATTCTGAAATCCATGTTTTTCTTTTACTTTTAATACTGCTGGAATTAATGGTAGAAAGACATCTGGAAGCAGTCTACCTACTTACCACTAGGTGTCACCAGCAGCTGCAGGTTAACCTGGTTCTAAACGAGGAACTTCAATCCACACAGTTTTATGTGAACAAAAACATTTTACTTTTTCTCTCTGCATTTTTACTCTTTGTCTCAAATAATAGATAATCGAAGGACTATCTTTCTTTTCTTTATATGGTTTCTTTTTCATTTGGTTTTTATTTGGTGGATTGTTTATAATGTCAAGAGAATAATTGATTTATATTATATTATTTAGTCTTATACTGTAAACAAACTGGTATACTGGTAAACAAGGCAACATTTCTAATCTGCAAGCTTTGGAAACCAAAGTGTAAGTGTTATCTGTTTTCAAATGTAATCTGTAAATAGATTTAAAACAAACATAGTTGGATCATTCTGATCCTGCTTTGTCATGAGCTCCAGAGAGCGTTGCAGTTTGAGCCGTACCTGTGATCGGGTTCTGGCAGGCGCTGCATTTCTTTGCCACTGAGCTCTTGTAGCAGTCCACACAGAAGACCTGGTCCTGGTGGGTGGTGAAACTGGAGCCGGCCAGAGGCTTTGAGCAGGAGCTGCACACGAAGCAGTGGCTGTGCCATGGCTGCTCTTGGTAGTTCACTCCTCCAGAGGCTATTGGCTGCAGACAAAAGTGTTATGATCTGCTTAAAACGTTGTGCTTAATGAAAGTTCCCTTTCATTAAGCACAGATTTAGTCTAAATCAAACTCCGAATCCAACACTAGATTGTCTGATTCAGATCTAATGATTTAACGACAAAAATAATTTTCAGTTAAACAAAAAAAATGTAGAAAAACAATTTCAGTTTTTGACTCTACCACAAAAAAAAAAAAAACATGAATCATTTCAGATTAAATGTAGTCAGATCAGCCTGAAAGGTTTTAATTACTTTTTTGCAGCTGACACAGATCTTGGCAAATTTCTCATCGTAGCAGGGGTTGCAGTAAACATCATCTCCCTTGGTGAGGAAGCTCTGTGATGCTATGGGTCGCTTACAGCTGCAGCAGGTGAAACATTCATCGTGCCACGAGTTCCCTTTATATGCCACGCTCTCAATGCCTGCAGAAGATAAGGAAGCGTCATCATTTGATTCTAACGTTTTGATAGTTAGGTGTTTCTGATGATTATCCTGCATGTTTTTTCATGGATTTTTTTTTTATGATTTAATGCATTTTGAATTGCTTTGCTGCTGGAAAGTGTTACAGAAACTCAGGGCGCGTCCTACTGATGACGGACATTAGTTTAAATTTTTTTCCACCCAAAATGCTAATGCTCCCCATTAAAATAATATATATATATAAAATTATTATTAATCTAAGATACATACTGTATTTTACAGCTGTCTAGCTTCACACATATGAGTGTAAAACTATGCAGACTGATGAGCAAAACCAGGATACAAGGAGAGATGGAGAGCAATATATATGGAAAGGATGAAGGGAGGATGCAATGAAAGAAGGAAGAAAGACAGGATACTAACAGATGCTAAGGCAGGAGGGACACTGCGAAAAGGAATGAAGGGAAGGAGAGAAGTGTACGAGGAATAAAGAAAGCACAGGAGTGATTGTGACAGAGGAAATGAAGAAGTAGGGACTGAAAGAAGAGAGGAAGTGAAGGAGGGAGAGATAAAAGAAAGAAAGAGAAGGGACAAAAATCAGAAGGAGTGATGAAGGGATGCAAAGAAAGAAGGATGCAAGGAATTACAGAAATAGAAAGGACACAAGAATTGGAAAATAAAATAGATAAAGTGTTAAGGATAATCTGTATTAATCAAACAAATATTTGTTTAGAGTTAAAATACTTAGGTCATAAAATAAAATAGAAATGTATGCTTCTCCTTTAATTGTGGATATTTTTCCTACCCATACTATAATACTATAATTTCTATAGGTTTTATTTAATCTCCCTCAAATGTAAAATGAGTTGCAGAAGAGATCAGTTTGTCAGGATAAAGTTGATCCTCTGCAGAAGTTGACAGCTAACAGGTGAATCAGTCCTACCAGCCAGTATGGGTTTATAGCAGCTGTGGCAGCGGGGAGCAGCATCTCTGGAGCAGCATTTCACGCACATGATGCGCTCATCCTTGGTGTTAAACGGCTCCTTAGCCAGAGGCTTGTAGCACTTAGTGCAGCGGAAACACTCCTCATGCCAGTGACGCCCTCTGTGGCTCAGCTCCTGGGGGGAAGGAAACAGGTTTCTCATGAGGTCCGTGGAGGCATTCATCCTCACAGTTGCGTTCATCTGAAGGAACGCACCTTCGTCTCCACAGAGATGGGTCTGTGGCACTCGGCGCATGAGTTGGCGCAGAACTTGGTGTGACAGCGAACGCACACCGGCTTCCCCTCGCTTCGGACAAACCTCTTCCCAGCAAGATCCTCGCGGCAGTAGAAACAGTGCGAGCCCTCCGCCATCGTCACTATGATGCAGACTCAGACCTACAGCAACAAAGTAAGATGTTCTGTTATCACAAAGCCAACTTGATACACCAATGCTTAAATTATCATAGATTCCTCACCATAATTTGTTCTAAATAAACAAATGACCTATTTAAGTGTTTATTCAGTTAGTTGTTTGAACTATTTTGGCAAATAGGAATCTGTTCTGTGGATCATTTCAGTCCCTTCTGTTTCCAGGATATCAACAGGGAACTGAACGTGAATTTGATCTGAAATGTACGGAAGAGGACTAGGGCCACTAGAAAAAAGAAAAAGTTAACAGATTTTTTTATTTTATTTCAGTTTAATATGGGAAAAAAGTCAGAATTCTAAATTTTTATCTCAGAATTCTGACTTTAATCTCAGAATTTTGGATCTTAATGTAGATGGGCATCATGATGGAAGAGATGTGGGAGCACTCAGCTTCACTGACAAAGATGTGAGTTGTTTGAGGTGGCCAGTGACACATTGGTGGAAAATGACAGAAATAGGCAACTTTTTATTTGCCCGAGGGGTCCCCTCATTAATAGAGTAGCAGAAGGTCATTAAAACAGGAGAGCTAGTCTCTAAAACAGACATGGCTATGGCTTGATGCTGACATGTTTGTTATCTGAATTCTGAGAAAAAAGTCAGAATTCTGAGATTAAAGTCAGAATTCTGAGAAAAAAAGTCACAATTCTGAGATAAAAAAAAAAAGAAAAAGTTAGCTGATTTTTTAATTTTATTTCAGTTTAATATGGGAAAAAGTCAGAATTCTGACTTTAATCTCAGAATTCTGACTTTAATCTCAGAATTCTGACTTTTTTCTCAGAATTCTGACAGCTAACAAACATGTTAGCATCAAGCCGTAGCCATGTCTGTTTTAGAGACTAGCTCTCTTGTTTTAATGACCTTCTGCTCCTCTATTAATGAGGGGACCCCTCAGGCACGTAAAAAGTTGCCTAATTCCATCATTTTCCACCAATGTGTCACTGGCCCTCTCAAACAACTCACATCTTTGTCAGTAAAGCTGAGTGCTCCCACATCTCTTCCATCATGGTGCCCATCGACATTAAGATCCAAAATTCTGAGAGAAAAATAGTCAGAATTCTGACTTTTTTTGAACCATATTAAACTGAAATAAAATGTAAAAATCAGTTAACTTTTTTTTTTTTTTTTTTTTTTTTCAGTGGCCCTTATCCTCTTCCGTAGAAATGTGTCAAAAATGTGACGGTTTATTTTATTGTTACGGCTCAGATTTGCTCCTGGTTCTTATCTTAGATAGATGGTTCCTAAAGAAGCTCATAAAATGCGGAAATAAAAGGTTATGGTTTAAAAAAGTGTCACAAAAGTTCAAAAGGACAAGTTCACACCCGTTGATCTGATAAAGATTGACTGAGGTAAGAAAACCTCATTCCTCACACTTCAACTTTACATCTATATAAAATTAATCATTTTACAGAAACAGTTGATCCAATAAATAATTTCTAATAGAACTGAAAAGGGGTTTCAGCTGCACTTAAATGAAAAATAAATGAATAAACGTAAATGAAACAGGAAGTTAAGTCTTGGCTACTGCTGTTCCGATCTTTGCATCCATTTCCTTTCATATATCAGCCTCTTCTTTTTCAAGTTTAATTTCAAGTTTTTTTCAACCACTAAACTTCACAACTTTTCAGTATTTTAGTTTTAATGGCAACAAAGACAGCTTTTAGGGGTTAGGGAGGGACTTCCTTTTGCACAAATTGATAGCTTTTTTTGAGAAGAACATCTTTTCAAACATTAAACTTGGTCTAAAACTAAAATTACACTGTTTTCCATAATATCCTTCATAATAATGAGTATAACTTTGTAACTGTTGCTTATTTCTAGGCGTTCTCTGACCTATGCCAAACCATATAAAGTCCTCTGTATTTAAAATACTATAGTAAGTGTAATAACTTTCTTTGACTAGAACCATAAATCACCAGGTTGAACAGAACAGCTTTGATCAAAGAGATGATTACAGGGTTATGACTTCAGATGTTAAATTAAACACTTTGAAATTTAAATAAATACGACAGAAGAGGCTCAAATCAATGATGCATGTTTGAAATCTTTTCCTTCATTTATTTTCTGCACAGTTCACACTGGCTGGCTGCAAGGAATTCTCCCAAGCTGCTGCCAGAGAGAGCGCTGTGTTTGTGTCGCCACAGTGAGGTGAACACATGAAGGAATGCCTGGTATGACGTGAGTGGTGAGATCTGCTGACAGCTCTACACAGAAATGCTCCGTGTTGTACACGAACCACTCCCATAAAAGACCCACAAACTTTTAACTTCTGTTCACAGCAACATGCCATACCGGCCAAAGGAGGAGATCCTGGTCAGACGGTACGCAAACCTTTATATCTGGGGCTGAATTCTTGTTAAATTATAGAAGTAATCATGGGCTGAGTTTTTGGATTTAGGAACCAGCGGAATTTGACTGTAAAAGATGACAGTAGGTATCATACTGGACTAGTGTTGGTTGCTGCTCTCTGAAACAGGGGCTCAATGGGGTTAATTAAATCCAAACGTCACGTATTGCATTAAAAAAATCTTGAAACATAAGAAACGCTTGAAAATAGCTACTGTGAAATGCTCTGAAATAACAAACTCCAGAAACCACAGCAAGAGTTCAGGCCCAGATGTCCGTTCTGACTGAATGATCACTTCACCAGATCGACTCATGAGGAAAACCTCCTCGCTCTCTGGTCACTGTCAGTCAGAAATCCATGAGTGTTTTAGCCAATCAGCATCGAGCAGCCAGCATCACGGCCTGCCCCTGCTCCATAGAAACCCTGAGAGCAGGGATGCTCTGGTCCAGTCCTAAAGAGCTAACATCCTTTCAGCTAGCATCTTTTCTCTAAAACACCAACAAATTTGCGGGATAGTAGTTCTTGAGGACTGGACTGGAGAACCCCTGCTTAAGAGGTTTATCCTCACTGTAAGTGACCAGGGTTCCTGCGGGTCCTTAGAAAGTCTTAAAAAGGCATTGAATTCTTCAAAATAAAACTAAGGCCTTAATTGGTATTAAAATGTCTTAAATCAGTCCTTCGTAGGTCTTAATTTTTAAAACATCATAAATAAGATTATTTTAATTACGATTTATTGTTGTAATCTAAATAAAACGTTAAAATTGACTTTTTTTTTTTCTTTTTTCACAAAAAAATAAAAATAAAAAATGGCTTTCCATTATTGGTTCCGTCCCGATAGCGGAACCAATAAAAGCGTTGTTGTGGCCGGGACATTTGGGAGATGAACCATTAACTTTTTGTCTGGAAAATATGAGCAAGTGTAAATGGAACGAAAATTGATTATCCAGCCCAGAGTTTTCTCCATGGCTAAAACCAGGGAACATACATGAGGCACAGTGGATTTTGTGCAAGAAGTCATTCAAGCTCAGAACGATGGGAATTAAGGCAGTGGAGTCGAACGTGCGAAGCACGAAACACAAAGCGTCAAAATCGAGTTACCGAGAAACAGCCGATATTTCTCAGTTTTGTTCCACCCTTGTCTCTGCAACGCCTCCACTTATCACCAAATCAAACATACTAAGAAAACCATACAAAGAAAAATAGCTGCAAAAAAGACTTAGCACTGGTTATGTTGTGGCTTTAAAACTGATTTGTTTTGTTCCCTGCTAAAACAAAGTTTGTGAATTCAGTTAAATAATTGTAAAAAAAAAAATATATCTGTCATTTGTGTGTTTTTAGCTTTCTTCCTGTATGGGAAGCTTTTCAAAATTTGAAACATGAGTGCAGTGGTTTATGTTAAAATAAACCTTTTGGTTAAGTTGTCACAAGCGGGTTTTTCTTGTGTTTCTTGTGAATTTGGTCTTAAATTTTTATTTCAAGTGGCATTAAAAAGTCTTAAAAAGTCTTGAATTTAACTTGCCTTATGCTAGCCTGGTGACGTATCTTGGCGTTATATATCCAATCAGGGGCTCTACTTTCTCGCTGCTTATCTCAATAGACGGAGGTTCAAACCTCAACAGATATTTCTCATAGAGGCTGACCGCCAGAGTCCCTCTGAGTCCGAAAGCGGAGAGAAGATTACGTCCCAGAACGGAATAAACAGCTGATTAATGCACATATTTGGTGAAATTACTACATTTATGAAGTCTGACAGTGCATAATGTACCAATAATTTTACAATAATTTTATCCTCCCTAGTATTCAGTGATAAATCACCACTGCAATAGACCTCTGTCACATGATTTAGGTAGATTAAAAAGATTTGGCACAAATCCACATAATCAGCCAATGTGAGGTGTATATATACAACACTTTACATGTAGAACAATATAAAATCCACACTTCAGAGATAACTGTTCCTTTTTTGTTTTGTTTTTTTGCTTTTAAGATACATATAAAAAAAAGATTTCTCTTTTTTTCTCTGATTTGATGGTTTTATTTTAGAAGAAGGAACAAAAAAGTCTGTCTTTACAATACCTTTAATAAACTGGTGACATGGTATCTGTAGTTTGACTGTTGGGACATTTTACACATAAATCGCAGCATAAAGTGTTTCAGTTTTACTTCATTAGGATATTTTGAATGGATGTAGGACCATTTATGGGGAAACACATGAAAAAAGATGGAAGGAGAGCTTTTCATACAAAGAACCAATGTGCTCAGTGAAGACGCATATAAAACACTCCTCAAATAAAATGCCTTTGATGCAATTTTATAAAAACCTTTTCAGTCTTGGACTTTATAAATGAAGTGAACCAGCGGCAACATGACATATATCACAAGTAGGGGTAAACAGGCAGACCACAGACCTTGCAGTTTATATCAGGAGGGAAAATTATTTATTTACATTAATTTTCTTTTTTTTTTTACCATCTTTGCAGAGAAGATGTGAATTCAGAAAAGAACTCTAGAGGTTCTTATTGCACGTTTACACAATATGAAGCTTCTGGTTTAACCTTTTTTTCTCTGTGTCTGAGCTGAAGGAAGGAGAGTATTGAAATGCAGCAGTCGGGTTGAATATAAA